GTAGGTGTAAAGGCAGTAGAACCTGTCGGGGAGGGAGTGTCCGTGGTAGGAAGAGTACTATTGCTAGCGGTCGTGTTTGTGGGGGAAGGTGTAGTGCTATCAGAAACATTAGGATTAGTTATAACTTCAGTAGTACTTATTAGGAAAGATGTAGTGGTACTAGGACCAGTAATACTAGTTGTAACTTCAGTAGTACTTGTTGAGAAAGTAGTGGTTGGGATAGGAAGAGTGGTACTAGTATAAACAGAACTAGTGATAATAGTCTCAAAAGTGGTAGCTGTAGTAGAAACTGTAGAAGGATGTAGAGAACCTGTGGGGAAGGTACTTGTCATAGTTGTAGTAGAAACTATAGGGCCACCATATATCCATGTAACCTCTGTTAGCTTTTCTAGGCTGATAATCTTGTTGGTAAGTTGAATAGTCAGCTTCTGTCAGAAAAGAAGAGATAAAGGTGGTATTTGAGTACTTCTTAAACATCACATTTAAGTCATTTTTCAAATTACAATTTAACAAAAACCAATATAGTCATTCTTTTCCAGAGATTAATAAAAGGATATAAAGATTCCTTTCCGGGTCACTGACTCTAGACAGGTAAATAGGGGAATATGTTGTGTGCATGATCCTTGTGCTGGAAATCTGTGTCTTTTCACTTCATCAAGCCACACCACATTGCTTACAAGTATTTGCAGCTTTGATTAAGCATTGATAACCAACACTTATAAAAATCTCTTTCCTTTGCCACTAGATTTTAACCTTCCAAAGGGCAGTCCGGTTTCAGGTTTTCACCAACCCCAACACCTAGTATAGTGCCTGGCATATAATAGGCATCTGATATGCTACAAAATTTCCTACAAAGAAGGTCTGCATTAGTCTTAACTGGGAGTAATTACTTGCAGAGTGTGGTCTTGAGCTCAATAGCCCAGGAAAAATGTGTTGAAGTAGAGAACTAGCAAAGACTAGAGAGAGAAAAGCTATCTGATTGTTCGGAGGATCATTTTCTAAAATCCAAGTATTAGCAGGGCAGGTACTCATTCACTGCTTGGAGCACAGGAACGATACTTATCCATTTTCACTTTGCTAAATGATCCCCTCCAGGTCACTGGATCATACTTAGGACAGGTCTAGTGTTATAAAGCGGGATACTTTTCCTTCTGTGGTTACTCTTGGTAACTCTACTGGTAATTTGTCTTCCAAGTAGATAGCTCCAAAAGCAGACCCTGCTAGAAGGCCTAGTAGGGTCTGCTATTTATCACTCTGTTTTGTTAACCAAATAATTTTATTTCACATCACAGGTGGGACATAATCATCATGATGATCACCATAGTTGAATTTGCACCAACCTGTAAGATCTACCAATTTGATCAGGGTCATGAGCAATTTCAGGAAAGAGGGAAAAATCTCCAACAATTTTAGAGGATCACTTTTTCATTTTAGCCTCTGTCACAGAAGGAAATAAGCTTTGTTATGCTAGCATGAGATACTAACCTCACTTAACACATAGAACCACTTCTGGGAAGCATATGGAAAGGCTTTCACCAGACCATTGATCATAGATTCCTGGACTACATTGGGAAGACCACTGATGCTACTCATTTTACAGTAGGATTCAACACTCCCACCTTTTCAGGAACATACTACTGCATGTATCTTTATAACCTTTCAAATACAAGCAAGTGAAAGCATGAAAATGAAAGTGGTGATAACTCTGCAGAATAATAAAATTAATTTATGATATAACATTCCTTTGCGACATACCTGACTGTAAGGGTCACTGTTGAAATTCACCACTGTAATTTCCTGGTTGTCATAGGTGAGATTGACTTGTATCACAGAAGTAGAGCTTGTTCCCCAGATTTTAATATATCCAACTTTCAGTGGATTTGAGTCATTCAGATACTTATTGTGTATGGTCTGGATTTGCAATAGATTCTATAAAGAATATATAAAGAGAAAAATACATAGGACATCTATCAAGAGACTGTATTTCACATTAAAATATTAAGAAACCTCAAATTACTATTGTTGTGCTGGTTTGCTGTTTTCATACTTAAACACTTCATGAAGATATACTTCCTGAGCATCTGCTATGATAAATTTGATAACACCAACATAATGAAAGTTATTTTACTTATATCGTTACTAATTTTTACAAAGATTTTGAAAAGCAAGCATCGTTATCTCAGTTTTACCGATGAGGAAATTGAGGCTCTGGGAGTAAAGAGAGTAGCTAAATGACAGAGATATGGTTGGAATCATGATGCACCCATGTGCGTAACTCTGTATGAGTTAACACAGTGTGAACACAGAATCCCAGCAAACAGCCCCTAGACTAAGGACAGTTTGCAATACGTCTAGGACTTGACAAAATCATGAGCTGTTTTTGTATCAACACAAGGTTTAAACTAATGTGAGGTAAGTCACAAAGTAGTATGTGATTAAGGCCTAAATGAAAATCATAGTAAATATTTGTTATGGGTGCTAAGAGAAACGAGAAATCGCTACAGAATAGGGAGAGTCAAGAAAGGGCTTAGGAAGGGCATGGGACTTTAGGAAGCCTGGAAGGGTGGATGGATTTAGAAAGGTGAAATGAATGAGGAAGGGGCTGGAGGCAGAGTCATGTGGGAAAAAAAGGCATGTTTATTAAGTGCAAGAGCTGTGGTAGCTCATGCTGAGCAAACAAAATAAGACTGGTTAAGATGGGTAGGATGAGGAAGATTTTATGTGATGCATCAAGGAGATAGTTGCAGTGGAGTGACGCCACAAACTCCTTGACTCTCATGGCAACAGTAGAAAGAAAAAGTAATCCATTCAACTGGCTTTCTGGAGAATTTAATAAGCTTTGAGACTGACTGCACAAGCAGAATCAAGGGAAAATGAAGAAAAGGGGATACAACTTGAAGTAAACGGGTGTGCTGAAGCTATTATTAATTTGGGAGAGCCTGCCATTAAATTGCCTGGAATTCTGAAAGCCAGTTGATAGTTTGAAATTGGCTAAAATGGTGGGAATACTTAAACCACAGGAATTAGCAAATGCCACAAATCAGCTCCACACCCCCATTACCCCATGCCAGCCAGCACGCCATTGATAATTACCCCATGGAAAGTTAGAAGCTTTCTTTCATGTCAAGCCTCTGATCCTTAGAAAGAAACGCCTTCAAAGATCACACAGAAATTAGAATTCACTTATCACTTCTTTGGAATAAGAGGAGAATGAGGTTTTAGAGTTAGAAAGCATTTAAGGAAAATGTAATGCTTTATAATAAAGAAACACAGGTTAAACAGGGGAAGTGTCTTCCCTATGTTAAATAACTAGTTCATACAAACAGAACTAAAATCCAGGATTTCTAAATCAACAGTTTCATTTTAAAAAAACAACATTTTGAAAGGAAAGATATGTAGACTTCAATTCAACTTTTCTTAAATTAAGAACAAAGAATTTACATATTTAATTAGCATGAAAAGCATGAAAATGAGATCAAAGTCCTGCATTTAGTTTCAAAAAGGCAATGTGGGATGGAGAGAGCATGACCTGACAATCATGTCTATGAAGATAATTTGAAAGTTTTAGATGACCATGAGATTTATGTAATGCGTGTGTTTAACAATTTAGATGACCATGAGATTTATAATATATGATACATATGTTTAAAAAATTAAATTAAAAAAAATTTAAAAACGTGAGGCAGTAAGAGTAAGAAAACAGAGTATAGCTAAAAAGAGGTAATAGTTGGACAGTGAACTATCTATTGTTTCATGTCACTGATGTTTCGAGGTTGATTGTTTTGCAGTATAAAGTTCATGTCATCCTACAGAAATATATGGCAAACCATATATGTAATTTTAAATTTTCTCATAGCTACATATTTTAAAAGTAAAAGGAAACAGGAGGAATTGATTTGAAAGTACATTTTATTTAACCCAACATATCCAAAATATTATTATGTTAACATGTATTCAATATAGAAATATTAATGAGGTATTTCACAATCTTTCAAATATTTCAAATTAGCCTAGTCACATTTCCAGTGCTCAAAAATCACATGGGGTACCTGGGTAGCTTAGTCGGTTAAGGGTCCAACTCTTAATTTCAGCTCAGGTCATGATCTCAGAGTCAAGAGATAAAGCCCCACACAGGCCTCCACACTGCACTGGGTATGGAGCCTGCTTACGATTCTCTCTTTCCCTCTCCCTCTGCCATCCCCCCAAATCCACTTACACTTGAGTGTGCATGTGGGCTCTCTTTCTCTCAAAAAAAAAAAAAAAAAAAAAAAAGTTACATGTGACTAGTAACTATCATACTTGGATAATGCAGCTCTAAGATATTCCTTCAACTGGGTACCATGTTTTGAGAGGAATCTAGACTAATTGTGGTCCAAACAGAATAATCAGATCTGTTTAGGAATAAAACAGAGGAAGTGTGAAGTTAGCCTGCAGATGAATAATTCCAAAAGAAGACGGAAGGTATATATAACAGACATCTTCAAATAACTGAAGCACTGCTATGTAGAAAAGACAATCGATTTGTGCTATGCTATTCCTTAAACGTAAATCAATAGATAAAAATTATAGAGAAGCAAATTCTAGGTTTGACATAGAATGATATTCCTACTCTAATGAGAATGATATAGGTTATCTCTGGAGTCATTTAACATGCCTGGTAGATTGGTTGTATTATTTTCTCCAATTATTCACTCCTCCCTATTCATACTCTTTTTCCATGTAAATGCCCTCCCTCTCTGGATGGGTCATTCTGTCTCACCTTTGTCTTAGGTCTTGGCCATCTGACTTCCCTTTGCTAATAGAATATTAGTCAACTTGCTGCAAATTGGAGATTTTAAAAAATGCTAAAGCATTTCCACTTCTGTTTTTGCCCCCTACCACAGTCATAAAAACCGTCCTTCCCAGAACGGCCATAGGCAATCTTAGATCATATTAATATAAGGACTGGCTTGGAAATTTCCAGGCAATTTAATAGTGGGTTTTCCCAGGGAAACCTGGGTGGTTCAGTTGGTTAGGCGTCTGCTTTTGGCTTGAGTCATGATCCTAGAATCCTGGGATCAAGCCCCATATTGGGCTCCTTGCTCAGTGGAGAGTCCACCAATCCCTCTCCCTCTATGTGTGTGTTCTCTTTCACTCTCTCTCTTTCAAATAAATAAATCTTTAAAAACAAAACAAACAAACAAACAAACAAAAAAAAAAAAAACCAAAAAAACCCAAAACAAAACTGTAGGCTTTCCCAAATCAACAAGAGCTAGCTTTAGGGGTGCCTGGGTGGCTCAGTGGGTTAAAGCCTCTGCCTTCAGATCAGGTCATGATCCCAGGGTCCTGGGATCGAGCCCCATATCAGGCTCTCTGCTCAGCAGAGAGCCTGCTTCCCCCTTTCCCCTGCCTGCCTCCCTGCCTACTTGTGATCTCTGTCAAATAAATAAATAATTTTTTTTTAAAAAAAGAGCTAGCTTTAGGATGCCCATTTACTTCAAGTTATATCCCATTTTCTTCATTTCCCCTTGATTCTGCTTGCAGTCAGTCTCAAAGTCTTGTTAATTCTCCATAATGCCAATTGAACATATTTCTTTTTCTTAGATCACTGAAGAGCCAGCTCTCTCTCATACATACATACCTATGTGAGTGAGCACAGCCAGGATCATCCAAGCAGCCAAATAGTCCTGTTACTGAGTGTAAGCCAGCCAAGATCAGCTAAGTCCAGCCCAGATTACTGGGACACTAAAAACTCCTGGGCTAAATAGTTTATTGTTTAAATTATTTATTTATTGTTACAAGCTGCTGAAGTTTTGAGGTTGTTTCTTATAAACCATTGTTGTGCAATACATAACTGGTCTAGCATTTATCCTGCAAAATATTATCGGCCAGAAAATGCCGTCTCATCCCCAGAAAACATGCCGTACATTTGAAGACCTATTTTTTCACCAGCATTATATGAACTACAAGTTTCTTCTTATAAAAAACTGATGGCATATTGGATAATTGTCAAAATAAGGACGGTTTATCCTTATGTTAATGTCAACAGACCCAATTTATAAGTGTAAAGGTAGGACGTTCCTCCTATTAAGATATAGGATATTATTTTGATACAGTTAACTGGTAATGTTTAATCTGTAGCTACCTGGGAATGGGTTTATAAAATTCAATAAAATAGTCTTACCTGAGCTGCAGTAAAATTTGCCAAAAAATAGTTTCCGTTTTCATAGGTATCTGCAAGCAAGAAAAAAGAATAAACTACTCATTGCTTCAACGGTAGCAGATAATCTTGTATATAGTCAAAGGGGTCACAATTACTGATCAGAATAATCATGACCTCTCTGAGAAACATTAAGGATAAGTAGCCAAGGGATTCTTTCACTCCAGGGTAGTATGGGGATGTGCATATGGAAGAGGGTATTTCAAGTGAGGATCAAGTGGTTGTAAAACCAGAAAATCTTGGTTGAACTGAGGATAGATATCCCAGATGAGGAAATGTGAAGGCTCCTGACTGGTTTCTTCTGTGCCAATGTAGCAAGCAGGTAACCATGAAGGTTGACATGGCTATAATGATAAAAGCTCAAAGCAGAGGAGAGTAGCTAGGAATTCAGGCTCAAGTCAGACTGACATGGGTTCAAATTCCTGCTCCTACACTTAGTAGTTGTGCAAACTATGGCAAATATCATTTTATCATCTGTAAAATGGAGACAGTATGCAACTACGCTGCATGAGCAAAGTAAGTGCTCAAAATGTATTCTTTACTATCATTAGCAAAGTTATCATCATCTTCACCTTCATGATTCTTCTCTTAGACCATCCTACCACATTGCTCTAGTGCCCAAGCCCTCCTGCCTCTACATAACTTACTCCATCAATTCCTCCCCAGACCCTCTTTGCTCCTCTAGGTTCCAGTTATGCTCCAGAACACTCCGTTCTGACAAACCCTTTCCTTGTTCTCTCTATAGGAAACAACCACATTTCTTTTTTAGTGCCATATTGTCTTAAAAAAGGTAGCCTCTGTTTGTTATGTCTGTGGACTCGACTCATAATTCACTCCTACATCTCCTGTATTTCAGTTCTTATGTTTCCTTATTTCACTGAATCTGATCTTTTCAAAGTCACCAGCGACACAGTATATTAAATCTAAGTATTTCTTCATGGTATTTAGGTGTTTTAGATCTGTTTCCCCACACATCGCTTCCTTGAAATAATCCTTAGTAGATGCCCACTTTACTCATTCTTCTCATGTAGGTTCTATAATTGTTACTTCTTAAAAGTCAGTTCCATTTCATGTTCTGTTCTTGCCCTTATCAACATTCCATCTCTTACCAATATTCCAATATATCTGTCCTTGAAGCAATTATTTCTCCTTTCTTTTCTATAAATTACCTCTACTCTTGCAGAAATAATCATAAAGCCTATTTTTTTAATTTCTTTTCAGCATAACAGTATTCATCGTTTTTGCACCACACCCAGTGCTCCAGGCAATACGTGCCCTCCCTAATACCCACCACCTGGTTCCCCCAACCTCCCACCCCCCCCCGCCCCTTCAAATCCCTCAGGTTGTTTTTCAGTCCATAGTCTCTCATGGTTCACTTCCCCTTCCAATTTCCCTCAACTCCGTTCTCCTCTCCATCTCCCCTTGTCCTCCATGTTATTTGTTATGCTCCACAAATAAGTGAAACCAT